AGCCCGGCTTACACCCACTTTTTCCGAAGGCCACAGATGCTGCAGTCCTCCCAGCTTTCCTGGCCTCTGCCCCACCAGCCTCACCTCCAGCCACCCCCTAACAAACGCTCTTGGCCAGGCAGGGGCTCCTGAGCCTGGGAGGCCACCAGCGGGAGGAGGGCCTGTTTTGAGGGAGCCCCAACCAGGTTCAGGGTCTGCAGCAGATACGGGGTGCACTCCCGGCTGGCATTTAGCCGACCAGAGTCAGACTGTCCTCCGCTCTCCCTGTGGCAGGAGGGGTAAGTCTGCTGAGTCCCTGTCCAAGCTCCGGCTCCCGCACTTCCATCCTGTGGGAATATTGATCCCCAAGAAACCCATGGAGCATCCCCCGGATAGGGAAACTTCTGAATGCTGGTCAAAGAGTGGAGTCACCCCCTTCGACACGAGAGTCGGGAGGAACGAGGCACAAAACCCAGAGAGCGCAGGCAAGAGGGCAGACGAGGCTTGGCAGAGGTGGGCCGTCCCTCGGGCTGTCCCCCAGGCCACGCATGAGACTCTCAGGGACTCTTGGAGCTTGGTGACCAGCCTGGGTGCTGGTCCCGAGGACGGCTCCTCCCCTGCAGAGCCAGGAGATGAAGCCCAGGTCCACAGTCCCAAGCAGCACGATCCCGCCCAGGCCTGCCATCTTCCCAAGGTCCGGTGCCAAGCCCCTGTTTAGCTGTGAGTCCATTCCCTGTACCCAGGGTACCCTGTCAGCACCATCTTTGCCCCCTCCCACCCTCGGCAGCCTGAGTCACACACGCAGCCAGCCCAGGGCACAGGACATGGGGGTTTCAGGGTGCAGCGCTCCTGCACCCAGAGGGCACCACCCTCTCCCCAGACTCTGCCGTACTGCTGCCACCTTGCTGTGCCTGTGACCCTCACCTGTTCACAACTGCCCATGGCTCCCTTTTGCCTGCCCGCTGAGCCACAGACTCCTCACTTGGGCACGTAAGACGTTGCTCAATGTGGCCTCCACCAAGCCGGGCCGCCTGGCCTCTGCCCCTTCCCCCCCCCAACAGCCGGCAGAGATGGTTCCCTGGGCCCCAACACGTCCCGGGCTCAGTGGCTCACCCTGTAATCCCAGCGCTTTGGGGGGCTGAGGCGAGTGGATTGCCTGAGCCCGCGGGTTCGAGACATCTTGGAGAGACATCGCCGGGGCATCTTGGTGAGATGGGCCTGTCTCCTCCTCGCCGAGGCTGTCCTCTCTTCCCCCATTTCTTTCTGACCCGATCCTGCCCATCCTTTGGGACTTAACCCAAATGTCTCCTCCTCCAGGAAGCCCTGTTTTGTCTTCCCTCAATGCTCCCACACAGCCTTGTCCTGCTCCTTTTTTTTTTTTTTTTTTTTTATTAGGAGTCTCACTCTGTCACCCAGTGTCGGCCTGCAGGG